TTGTGTGGTGATTATTAGGCTGGTAAAGTCACAGATATTTGCTCGCTCCTTTTAATTTACTGAAGAAGCCAGAGGTAATTAATGAGACAGCCAATGGTAAGGGGCACAGAGAGGACATTCACCCTATAACCTCAATAAAAACAAACATGGCACATCAGCAGGAGTAAGCTGTTGGGTTTATGACCAACAAATCAATGTCACATGTGGAAGGTAATAGCTGCAGTTTTTACAGGCTGATCTGACCAGCAGGACCAACTGAAATTTCTGTACTCTCTTCCATTAAATGGAAAAAAGGCCGCAGTCAGTGTTCTTGTATTTGCTTGCAGTCTCAGAAAACACAAGAAATTAGATTTCAGTTGGAGGACACTGTTGGACGCAGCCTCAGAAAAAGCCTCCTGGAGGCTGAGCTGCTGCTTACAAGCCTGAGCCTCCTGCTGTTGCTTTGCTCATATGGATTTCTCGGAGTCACTTTTGTCCCATATGTGTGTGCGTGGCTTTTTGTTTGGGAATAAAAGATAATTGGTTTTGTGTCATTGCACCGATTCCAAAAGTGACCTCATTCCACTTAACAACAATGTAAAAATGCACAAAACACCCCGAAATAGGTTGGGTTTTTGTCTCGCGCTGGGTTGGGCCTGGCAAACGTGCTCTTTGCTGGGTAAATATTACTCTGCCTGCGGTTGGGTTTGTCTGCAGCAAACAACAGGCCACCAGGGAGGATGCATGGAAAGTGTGGCTGCGGCTTAAAATGGAGGAGAGGAGTATGTGGTGTTGTGGTTTTACGTTATAGAAAGGCTTAACAGGCCCTTGTCTTTTTTTCTGGGTTTTTTTAAATGTGACACGCATTTTTTTTTTTTTTAAATCTCTCCTCAAATGCACACTGTTTATCTAAATCGTCTCTCATTTCCCTCAAACTAAAACAATGTTTACGAAAGGAACCTCTTGAAAAACCTTTTAATCCTGATATATTGAAGCTAGTCATATTGTCTTGCTGACAGCCACATCAGTCGAGTCCATTCCTTTATTTCCCTCTCTTTTGAACATCTTTATAGCCTCCTTCAAAGCGCTTCATCTGGGGCCTCAGGTAGGGTTTCAACTTCCTGATTGTCACAGTTATGGCTCATTAAAAAGTCCCCTTTTCTCTCTGCGAGCAGGAAGGAAACTGACTCTCTCTCTGATCATGTTAATGTGCACAAGTCCTGAGTACTGACGTTGTCACTTCTGCACATCTTGTCTGCGTTAGCATTAACCCACAAAGGGGTCACTTTAATGACTGTCAGATGCTGCACTGTGCCATTGATGTCCAACTTGTTAATGAACACAAGAAGTCACTGAATCAGTTGGAAAGGACGAGGTAATCTGAAAAGAATATTCAACCACATAATAATTACTGGCACTAGTCTGTCATTCTGTAAGAAATACCTTATTTAAGCACCTGGCTGCTAGTTGGTAAGTTTACTAAACTGCATGAATTTATGGTGCAGTATCATCTGTGAAGCCAGTGTCATGGTCCTGGGGCTTGGATCCAGAGTTTTGAGTTTTTGGATTTCTTTACTACTTAGTGTGTTCTGTTGGTTTTCATTGTTCTTAGGTTTTCTGATTGAGTTATATATTTATTTATTTGCCTCTTCTCAAGTCTCTTACTGCTGGTGTTTGTTATTTGTTGAGTTCTGATATAGTACTCTGCAAAGGTCTTGAGCCACGCCTTGTTTCTTTACATTTCGCTGCCAGGAAATCAGACTTTTTTTTCTTTTCCTTCTTTTTTTTAAGCGGTCTTGAGCAATAGTTCACCAAATGTTCTCTTGTTGAAATATTTAACACTGACCTATGAATCATACAAGCATAAAACTGCCACCTAATTCAAGAGATTCACCAGTGTTGTGTCTACACATAACAGTCAACGTGACAAAGAAGCAAAGTAAATTCTGCCTTTAGGCACTTTGTGATAAACAGTCTGTTGCAAAAACACATACTTTGTTTCAATTTCTTTAGGTGAATCTACAAAGAAATGCCAAATATAACACAATTTGACAGGCATGAAACAGTTTATCTGCACCGAGAAAGTGATTTTTAAAACACTATTATCTGAAAACCTGTAATATATCAGCATGGTGTCATTATAAATTTTAGGAAATTGAACAAGTAGAGGAAAAACGAAGTGTTAGGCTTTAAAAACTATCTGCAGCAGATGAACAGTATCTGAAAGTCATGTCCTTAAGAAATAAGAAAGCAAAATCAGCAAAGACCTGACACAGGACCTGAGAGATGCATTATGTGTCTTGTTACACTGATCAGGCATACCATTCTGACAACTGACAGATGAATTGAAGAACACTGATTATCTCTTTGTCATAGGACATGTTAGCAGATGGTATATATTAAGGACCGAGTGAACATTTTGTCCTTAGAATTGATGTGTTAGAAGCAGGGAAAAGGGCAAGGATAAGGATTTGAGTGTCTGACAAGGGCCAAATCATGATAGCTAGAGAACTGGGTCAGAGCATCACCAAATCTGAGCTTTCGCAGGGTGTTCCCAATCTGTAGTGGATCAAAAGTTGTCCAAGGAAGGAACAGTCGTGAACCAGCGATACAGTCATAGGTGGTCAAGGCTCAATGATCCACAGCGGGAGCAGAGGCTAGCATGTGTGGTCTGATCCAGAAGATGAGTTACTGTAGCTCAAATTGCTGAAACAGGTCGTGCTGGTTCTGATGGAAAGGCGTCAGAATACACAAAGCCAAAGACCTGTCAGGGTGCTCATGCTGACTTCTGTTTACTGCCATATGCACTAACAATGGGCACCAAAGAGCAATGGAAGAAGATGGCCTGGTCTGATGACTCACGTTTGTTTCACATCATGTGGACGGTCAGGTGCCTCTTTTAGCCGGGGAACACCTAGCACCAGGATGTGCTATGGGAAGAAAGCCGATGGAGGCAGTGTGATGCTTTGGGGACTGTTATGCTGGGATCCTGTCATCCATGTGGATGTCACTTTGACACGTACCACCTACCTAATCATGGTTTCACACCATGGGCACCATTTCATTGGAGACTGTATTCTTTGATGGCTGTGGCCTCTTTCAGCAGGATAGCGTGCCCTGCCAAAAAGTTAAAACTTGCAGGACAAAGGATCTGTCTGAAACATCGTGGTGCCAGATACTGGAGTTGATTCCTCGATGGGTCAGGGCTGTTTTGGCAGCAAAAGGGGGACCAACACATATTAGCCAGGTGGTGTAATTTAAGTTAGTTTACCCATGTTAGTATTTTCACATTCAGTTTCCTCTTTGCAGTTCAAGTCATGTTTCTTCCCTGTTTTATATTGATATACTTTTTCCCTTCTAGTCTTAGTTTTAATACTTCTGTCCCAATTTAGCTTCAACTTCCACTTTGTTAAAGCTATCTGTGCTAAGTTGCTTCAGTGTTTCCTTCTCAGTTCCTCCCTCTGGCTTGTTCGGAGTTTATGCCTTGTTCCTTTGTGTTTCCTAATTATGGTAAATGGAACAGTTCTTATAAAGTGTTTTTCTACTCCACTGAAACACTCATAGTGCTTTATACAACATTACTTTATTGCCTCACACATTCACACAAGTACTTTTTTTTTCTATGCTTAACATTCACACACAGAGCAACTTAGGGTTAGTATCTTCCCCAAGGATATTTGGCATGCAGAGTGTCAGGGATCAAACCATCAACCTTCCAATTAGCAGATGACCTGCTCTACCACTCCAAAGTTCTGTGTTGTCAGATGCAGATGATTGGGTTAGGATTAGTCTCCTTTTGTTACTTCCTGTTAGACTTTGAAGTCTGGTTTTCCATTATGGTTTGCGTTAGTTCTACCTTGTGATAGTCCTTGTTTTGTTTTTTTTAAGTGTGCTCACCTGTGTTCCTCTCTCCTGTTTCCCATCTGTAATCAGTCTATGATTAAACAGCTCAGTCTTCAGCTGTGCTCTGCCATGGTGTTTATGGTAAGCACTTTGTGTCTGCTTTCATGTCTCCGAGTAACCTTTTCTTATGGGAGCTTGCTTCCTGCCTCCGTCCATTTGGGCCGTCTCACAACATAACCTATGACACTAAAAATGAGAAGAAATGATATATAAATGGTAAAACTACAAGAGTCTAATAACCAAAGCCCTTTATAGTTTACAGTGGAAATCTGTTTTTTGCTGGTATTTTAATTGAATAATAAATGTATTATTAGTCATTTCTGCTAGTTCAGAAAAAAGTCAAGGAGCCCTTAAATGCCCAGCAGAGCTGAAGAGAACATTAAAACTATCTGAAATGTGCTGTAGACATGAAATTGAATATTGTCAGATTGTTTACACTGAAGTTTAGATGATATTATATGCAATTTTCATCTGCAAACTAAAATCTGTAACTCTGGAATAATTACTGTAAATGTGTTGGATTTTCACCTTTTCAATAAGTGAATGGGTATATTAAAGTACCACACAGGTACTTATATACTATAAAACATTACATTTGTAATCTGGTCAAATGAAATTTAATTGATTGGTATACATTTAGTTTACACCAAGCATATTTTATGATTAATTATTTGAGTGAATAAACTTGAAATTTTTCAGCGGCATTTTACTCAAAATGATTGTTTCATGTTTAGGAGGGCAAATAACCCTTTGTTGTTGTTGTTGTTGTTGTTTTGGGGTTTTTTAGTGGGATAATTCAACTCATTCTCAAAGGAAGAAAGACACATACAGATCCTCTAATGGCCAGCCTGTGTGTCATAGTGACTACATCCATCCTTTATATACAGTCTATGACTAGAACAGCTGACTAATTTGTGTAGTCTGGGCAGGGAAGTGAACTGATATCATCATTAAGCACTAATACTGATCAACAGATTTCACAAAAAAAGCTTTGAGCATTCATCTGGACTGTGTCAAAAAACATTACCTGCTAAAAAATAACTAACATTTATAAACCAAAAGCAGTAAATGTTGTTTTGTGTGGTCTAAAAATTGCTTCTGTTCTTTATTTTCCACAGGGAGCCATTTTTTTACGTGGAAACAAAGTTACAGAGCATCCAAGCAGCGGCGACGAAGGGGGAAAATTTCTTTTCGAGGTCATTCCAGGTAGGATGAGATTACAGCAATTTAATCACTGCTGTTTTTACTGAGGACAGAATGGTGAAAGCAATCTTTACTTGGCAGCAGAAGGAACAAAACCATGAGGTTAACTGTTTGCTTGCCTTCTACTGGGGATTTGTTAAGGGATCACAGTGAGGTCTGTACCTCGTCTGTCTGTTTTTACATAACATTATGGGCTTTACTTCATGATCCGTTTTTACTGTTAAGCTTTTTTAATATACAGATTTCCATTTTATTTTTTTTCTTTATTTTGGCTTGAATGCAACAAAAGAGAGCATTTAAAAAAAAGGCAACAACCATGGATTATTAGACTGTTAATGCTGTATGTGCCGAGGATGCCCAGTAGAACAATAACAGGAATAAATGTGACGTTTTGTATGTTTTCCTATATAACTATTTTTTTTTCTTATCTAGATGACAGTCATTTACACATATCGTTACAATTCAAACTCGTACAACATGTGAAAACGTGGTTAAGCACAGCATGAAGGAAATGTGGGATATTTTCCCAGGCTGGAATGTGAGCTTATGGAATAGATATTTAAAAGGCACGTTCACAGGGGGAAAACAGACGCAGCTGTTAAAAGATACAGTAGCAGAGTGCATCAACAGCCCCAGTTGATCTTAAAAACCCAGTAGAAAACACCGGATGTATGCTATAAGCACTCATACTTTATTTGTGTTAGTCTTTTCCCTGGTGTGTATCCAGTTGAGTGTCCCTCAGAGGAAACCAAAGTATAATTGCCAAGACTTTTTTTCTCACTGAACACACACGCAAACCAAGCAGATAGTGGTACAAGTATTGGGGTAATAGGGGTCAATATGTGTGTGTTACAGGGTGTTTGAAAAAATCTCGATGGTGTTCTTGTCGTTTCATTGCTGGCTGTCTAACACTTTCAACGTCAGACGAGGATTAAGCGCTCCCTGCAGAGATCAGCTCATTTGCTACTCTTTCATTCAGTATTCACATTTCAGTTGGAGAAGTGAACTTTTGAATAATACTGTTTTGCAACCGTGCAACAATTTCATTTGATTCTGCGTTTCACGTTGTATTTGCTGTTTCTTGAATAGTATGATGCAACAGGAGTGAAACAAAAAGGATTTCTCAATATAAAGCCACAGTGAGCATCTAAAAGTTTGCTCACAATGTAATTTGATGCTATTTGCATTCAGCGAGCACGCAGATATAAGCTGGGAGACTTGTTGAGGCACACTGAGAGTGGACTTAAGCTGGTAATTCACACAGCAGCTAGCGTGAGACTTTTCAAACTTCTGCAAAAGGCTAACTGAAACTGGGCTTGGAGGAGGGCACAGTGACTCAGTGAGACATGTAAGGGAAGTCTTACATCTTACCTCAGCACAAATTTCCTATCTGATCATCAGGCATGAGAATATGGGGCTTACACTCCCTGCATGGGAAGGGTTTTGATTGTAGAAGCCAGGCGAGAGGCAAACAAGCAGAGGTCGTCTTAAGTGTGGGTGACTTCAGCAGCATGGTGTCAAACAGATGAAGAACTGAAAGTGTGCATAAAGGGCTGGTGCAAGATTCATTTTCTTTTTTTCTTTTTTTTGATAATGCTACAATTATCAAAAAAATTATTATCTTTCTTTTCTTCTGGACACACAAGTTCAAGTCTCTTAAAAACATAAACCTGTCTTTCTAAATCCGGGGTGCATTTCAGCTGTGAAAAAATGTGAAATGAAAGTTTTGTGTATCACACTTCACTATTGCTGGTTCGACACCGGTTTTCAGCATTAGACAAATTAGCTTATTGTCACTTCTAGCCGAGAACTGCTAAAAATCAGAAACCAATTCGATTGCTTCGACAACTTTTAAGTCCACGCGGGCCAAAGCTGCCGTATTTTATTGTTTTCATTTTAGGCACCGTTAAGAAGAAGAACAGTTACTGGTTATGCGTTTAAACATATAATTTTCTTTTTAGAAAATATGTGGTACATTTCTTCCAGTCTTTACCTCTACGGTTATTTTTTCCAATGGGAGTACACCTTAATACAATCTTTACAACTTCTGGAAGAAGGAAAAGGATTTTTTTTAATTCCAGTGTGTATTCTCTCTACTTGTACAGCTGCCATGTAATACTAAATCATCATAAGCTACATATCGTTTACTTCTGTTGGGAAGTGAGGCTTTTCTAAAGCTGTTTGTTTCATTTGTGGTGCTAAGTGATGAGAAATGCGTTTTGATATCTTTCAGGGCTCGCCGAGTTTCAGTCTTGATACGATGTTGATTGTTTCAGTACTGCTGGAATGACTTAAAGACTGCAGGGAAAAGGTTCCAGTGTTTACAGTACGTATTAAAGGTTTTACAGCCAACTATATCAGTGAAAAGGTAGCAGTGAGCTCAAGTGTATTTTCATTATGTATCTGGCAGTGATTGTACAGTACTGTACAAAAGAACGTGCTGATCGTCATTGTTGTGATAGATTAAAGTGTGAGAGGCAAGATAAACTTAAATTGTGTTCAACTGTAAATTCAGGGGTTGTTAATTTAAGTACTAACTTCATTGTGCTGTATCTCTAAAGTGTGCTGCCAGCACAAATACAAAAGTGGGACGTGAAAAGACTAAGTAATGTCACCTAGTGGTGTGCAATACTGCAAATTTTGCTATTGATCTGATACCTAGTAAATACAGGGACAGTGTTGCTGAAATCTCTGACTATGACTTTCAACTTCTGTTTTTTAAATGTGCTCACCTCTCACTCACCTCTGTTACTCATACAGCAGTATCTCCTGTTGTAGCTAACATTTCCATCAGTAGCTAAAAAGCCTGCTAGGTTTTCTGGACAGCTGTGAAATTGAGATATTTATAGCAATGTATGTAGGAATTCAACCTTTTACAAAACAATGAACAACCCTTTTTCCAGGATAAGCTAAAGTAGCCACCATATAGATAAATAAGAGTCGCATAAATCTTTTTACCTAAATCTCCTCAACAAACAAGCATATTTCTCAAAATGTCAGACTCTTATTGTGAATTCTGTTCTTAATGTAATCTGTATAATTAGGCTTAAGCCTCCATCACACAGGCCTGAGACCCACACTAGGAACCTTTGGTAGCTCGGGAAAAATGTGCATTTCCCAACCTGCTGGTTAGTCGCTGGATTTTACTGGCTGTTGTTGGGTCAAATAGTTGCAAGAGGTGAACGCTTTCAAAGACGCAACTTTTACTTTGATTGACCACAGAAATTTCCTAGCGATCAAAGCAATCACAGTTTTTCTGTTTGTTTGTTTTTTATTTGTTCTTTGACACCAATTTTACCCAGTGACTCCTGAAACCTACTGAAACCACTCGCCAACCTGTTGGTCAAACACATTCTTCCCCAGTGATTGGTGGTTAGCGCTGACCAGTCGCTTGGCCTGCATGACTGGGGCTTTAGCAGTCAATTTCATAGTGACTAATACAAATTTTGTCCCTAGCTGCTGTATTTGTCAGGTAGTTGCCAACTGGTCTCCAGGTCAGTGTGACTGGGGCCTCTGATTTATACATGGAGCCTTACTTCACTGCTGTGACATCAGTGTCCCTGTCGTCTTTAAACTATTAAAGTCAGATTTGCTGTGGACCAGCACCAGACCAGAACATGTGGATTAAATTGTGACTTTACTTGCTCACAATAAGGGTCTTTCAGTTTGGATGCAACCGCCTGGCAGAGGGTTTTCGGCATTCTACTACAAAACAGTTTTTCCCATCCGGCGTCATCCACTGCAGCCTCGTACTGATGGAAAACAAGAACATGGCTTGTTATGAGGAAGCCAATAAAGAAGTCTCAGAGAAGCAGAAAGAGCAAATGAAAGGGGAAAAACAACACATTTATTCCACTGGTCTAAATGCGGCCCTGCAGTTTGAACACAGCATACAGACAGAATTTGGCAGACAGACAGGAAGTGATGAGAGGGGTGTATTCAAAATGAGGTGAAAGTCAGAGCTCTACAGAGATGCTTGTTGTCTGTAAGCGTGGTGATGAGGTTTAAATTTGAGCAGTGTGACAACAAGGGGCTTGAACAGAAGCATCCCGCATCAATACAGGGAGGGGAGGCTCTCTGTATTTTTAGCTTTTCTGGAAAGTTTTACTTAGTTACTCTGTCTCAGAGGAACTGGGAAAAAAGTTGCAAAACAGTTCAGGAAAAAAAAATCTCAGACTTTTATTCACCTGTGCTGAGCACTCTGTGATGTTTTTCAGCTCTTAGCTTTCCCTCCACATCTGGCTGATGTGTGTGTGTGTGCTAAACTTGAAGAGGTGAGAAAGAAAGGAGAAGGGGAGGGGGCTTACGAGGTGAGTGCACCAAATTGAAAACAATATTTAGACTGTCTTCATTTTCAGCTGTTTGACAGGGAAACGCAGGTACAGACACAGCGGACCTTTTGTTTTCCAAACTTTAAACACCAGCCACGGCGCTGACACGTCACAACATGTGCAAACTCTCACGGGCCCAAGCTAGGGAGAAGAAGAGTAACAACAAAGTGAATGTGCTGGACACTTTTAAACTGTATGAATAATGTTGTGACAGATGTGTGCCTGTGGATCCTCCTCCCAACTGGAGCATCTTGGAGGTGCTATAGCTCTCATAGACAGAAAGTGTTGTCTAGATATGTAGGCCATACATCGGAAACGCATATCAGAACGTCCCGGTGACAAGGATCGCTCTGCAGTTCTATTTCCCGCAGTGCTCTTAAATCCTCTCAAGAATGTCAGATATCATCATCATAATATTTCTGCATGGCATGACAGAGCTCAGAACAATGCAGTGAGCAAGCAGAGCAGCAAATTACGACTATCTTAACAAAAAAGGCATCCGCTGCTCGTTCATTCTACACATCTAAGCTGCTGCTAAATGTCACTTCCCTGTCACCCAACTGTGATTAATTATCTGAGCAGGAAAGACTGCCTGCTGTGGTTTTGATGGAGAAAACGCATGCAGCTTCCAAAACGCACAAAGCTCCAGCAAGAGTTCAGAGTGTGTCACTT